TTTAGGATGATTTTGGGTGTTTTTGTGAGCCTAAAATATCAATTCGAGTATCTATATTGGGATAAACAGTATCGATATTGCATGAATCAGGAAAAATTACGTTTTCTGGGCAGAGAGTATTGATATACCAAAGGAGTATTGATACTGATCCTTCAGTCTCAAGACTAGAAGTGTTGGTCTTGAGATCGGGCCCCAATTTCAGCATTAAAATGTATTTTTGGTACCGATAATCATAGGGGTATCAATACTTGATCCTAAGGTATCGATACTATAGCTAGAGTATCAATACTACCCACCTCAGATGATTAGTTTTGACCCGATTAAGGTCTATAAAAGTTTAGGATGGTCTGTAAGGATAAGGCTTAGTCTGTGAGGTACGAAAATAACCAAAGGGGCTCAGAGACACTCGTAGGAGTGGGTTACAACCAAAGCAACCATAGATGGCATAACGCGTCTAAGTATCTTCAGTGAATACATAACAGATAATTATGGATGGAAGATCAGTGTACAGGGTGTACCATCGAGATGTATGATTAAGGAATCAGATTATGAAACAATAGTGTGTTATACTGCATGAACGATCGAGAGTGTTAGACGTACAAATATTTCTTTAATTCAAAGGTGAATTTAGGGGAAACACGGTAATAGTAAATAGAGTATCGCTACCCAGGAATGAGCTCGAGTCAAATATCGGGTCAACCAAAACAATAACTAGTAAACAATAAAAACAACAATCTCCATGAAGTCTCAAATCGCGTAGAGATTTCCCTCATAGTCATAGAATAACTAAAATACCCTTGAGTATCAAATAACCATATCAATACAGTTTATCAGAAGTAACAGATTAATTAACCCTTTTATAAAGTTCTAGATGAGAGAATGAGCGAGATAACAACTAGGAAAAATAGTAAAAAAGATCAGTAATAACTCAACACAACTAGAAACAGAAATAGTAGTAGTAACAGTTAAAAACAGTAGTAATAGCAGCTAAAAATGGCTACAACTAGGATGTCATAGAGCTAGCCTTTGTGTGACACTCGAGAAACAGCCAGGACACCCATGTTACTTTAGCAGTAGGGTGATTGTATTGTTTGTCAGTATGTCTAGGTATATACCAGTCAGTGCTGAGGTACTTCTCTTGCCAGCTGGGCGCAGATGCCCCAAGACTCGGTGGAGTAAGTTGGTGGGGTGTACATTTCTGATGCAGCTCTAGATCTCACCCCATATGTCTGAGGGGCCAAGTGTATATTTCCGATGCAGTTCTGAATCTCACCTCATGTACCCGAGGGTATTCCGGCATGATAGAGGGGTGTATGAGCTCCAAGATATAACTCCTCAGGCGCACCATGATGCCTGCCACAGCTAGTGTATTAGTCACAACAGAGTTAGTATTGCATTCAGATAATGCACAACATAGTTCGTATGACATTCAGATAATGCACAGTAGAGGTAGTAACACATTTAGATAATATGTAGTAGATTCAGACGTTAGGGTTAGAGACCCCTACTTCAGAGATAGAACAACTAAGCCTTAAGTAGGTATAACTTGATCTAGATCATGTAAATACTTATAGCTTAGTACCACATCTTTGGCATGCTTGTGTTTATGAATTTTTATATTGCTCTAGATTAGTGATTCTACTATTGGGCTTTGTAAGCTCAGCCTTCGGATGTTTTCCGTTGGCATATTTGTAGCATGAGCAGTTCATGGAGCATTGTCACAGTAGGATTTCCAGCATCACCTTTAGAGTACGATATCGTAGCTTAGTGGGCATATGCATTCATAGAACCTTACTTATGTATTCAGTTTACTAAACTCAAGGTTTGTATTATTTTGATTTTAAATTATGTGTCACAGAGCTCCAGTTTCGTAAAATGAGTTTATAACAGTATTTATGATTTATTTATGATATTATTCAGCATGTTTGAAAAGAAAATGTACAGGCTTGAAAATCAGGGGTTGCCTTGTTAGCCCAATGTGACACTTTAGGTCTAATAGGGTTTAGGGTGTTACAATGACCTTGATAATGGCAATGTGAACATTTTGTTATTATTGAATTTGATGAATTGTGAGAAATAATTTTTTTCTTTCTTCTTAAGCTATCAAGCTTAATTTTCATATCAATTTGTTTTTCAAAATTTTCATTTTTCAATTTTGAAAGCTCCAAATCCTTTTTTCAAAATCATTTTTGCTTTCAAAATCCAATTTAATTTTCAAAAGTCATTTTCATTTTTAAAATTTTAAATTATTTTCTTGTATATGGAATTCATGGTCTCAAATTCTAAAATCAATTCATTGTAAGCATTTTGTAACTCATAAAAAGAATATAAATTTAATTTATTTGAGTTAGAAGATACATTTGAATCTTCTTGGATGGCCATAAGGAAAAAGTTGGATACTTCATATTCTTCATCATCAGTGATGTCCTTATCACTCCATGTAGCAACAAAAGCCTTCTTCTTGCTTGATCCCTTCTTCTTTAGAATATAACATTCATTTTTCACATGTCCTGTTCTTTGGCATTTATAGCACACTGGGGGACCTTTCTTCTTACTCGATTCATGTTTCATTTTTTTCATTTGGAAGACATGAATATTATGAATCTTTTGAGGAGCTTGGCCATCTTTTCATCTTCTTCATCCATATATTCACTAAAATCTTCCTTAACTTCATTTGCGAACTTAAGAACAATGCCAACATCCTTTTTCTTTTTCTTGTTCTTACTCCTCCTCTTTCACCATCAACTCATGTGTGAGCAAGGAACCAATAAGCTCATCAAGATTGAGGGACTTTAGGTTCTTTGCTTCAATTATCGTCGTCTTCTTTGATTTCCAAGACTTTGGATGAGAGTAAACCACCTTCCTCACAAGCTTTTCATTAAGGATGATTTCTCTGTATCCCTTGAAACCTAACAATCACGAAAAATCTATCCGTCATAGCTTTCATGTATTCATCATGTTTCATCATGAGATTTTCACAACTATGATTGAGAAGACCGATTTTTGTTTCTCTTACTTCATTGGTTCCTTCATGAGTGACTTGGAGCTTATCCTAAACCTCCTTGGCATTAGAATAAGAGGAAACACTTCCATATTATTTGGGCATAATGCACAAAATAGAATGTGCATGGTCTTGGCATTTTGTTAGAACTTCTTCTTTTCTTCTTAACTCCAATCTTCCGTTTCATTAGTTGGAGTAAAGTTACCATCCAATATTGAGCTCCTAGATCATTTGCTTGAATGAAGAGCATCATCATATTCTTCCAAAAGGCATAATTTTCTCTATTGAAATATGGTGGCTTGTTGATCGGTTGAGAGTCTTCAATGTAGTAGGAGCCGAAGGTTGAAGCCATCATTATCTTTTGATAGTATAAGTTGATAGAGCTCTCCTAGGATATTCTCAAGGTTGTTAGACTGTCAATAGAGACCTACTATGATACTATTTGTTAGGATCAAATCGATCAAGCGAAAATCGCCAAGAGGGGGTGAATTGGCCTTTAAATGATTTGTAATGGAAGCAATCGAAAATTAACGACTTTGCACAATAATTTAGAGTGGTATGACTTCTAAAACAAGTCTACATCCATTACCTTAACTATCCACACTAAGGATTTTCTAAATCCACTAGATTTGCTTACCTTTAAGGACAAGGTGTAACATTACAAACACTTCAAGGTTTATACCTCAAAACCTTGAGTACATACTCTCCCAAAGAGTAAATACAAATTTAGCAAACTAAAGATCTTTAATTTATATTATTTAACTATTTTAATTTATTTAAAAGTTAACATTGTTAATAATTTAATTAAAATAGTATTTTTCTAAAAGATCTTTTTGTATTTATATGATGAAGATCAATTAGTTTCATTCTAAAGATACATGAGAGTGTACAAACCAAACAATCTCAGTGATTAAAGATATAATTGTTATTTTTAGAGGTCTCAAATTCAAAAAAGATGTATACATTATTGTTTGAACGTTTATCATTAAATGATTGAGAATTTTTTTGAGCATATAATATATTACAATCATTTGAGACTAAAAAACTTATAATAAGATTATCACTAGATCTGATAATAATGTCACAAATCTCATAGATTTTTTAAATTTTCTCAAAGCCTAAAATTCCATATTCCCCATTATAGATCAAAGATCATATATGACAACAAATAAACGATGATTGAGTGAAAAATAATTTTATACGATAAGGTTTATATATAATGTATGAGAGTACAAAATGAAGAAAGAGACAACCGATTAATATGAGTGTGATAATAAGAAATAACTAACAGTGAATAATTCAACGATGACATATGAAATTTAGAGACTTAAAAGATTTTGAATAGTTTATGAATTTAAAATTTAAAAAATTAATGACCTTAGGGTTTTTTCTTAAAATGTTATGCTACATCTATTGGTTAGATAACAATTTTTTAACAATTGCTAATAATTGGAAAACTAAATAATAATTTTAAAAACGTTAAAGATTTATTTTGACAAAAATTACAACCGATAAATAAAAAATATAATTTAAACATTAATTTTTAATTAAACCATTTAAATATAATGTAAAACAAATTCATAAACAAATTTGTAATTTCGTCTATATCATTTACAAAGACTACTTATTAACACATTAGGTACAAGTTATTCATACAATAAGTATACACATATTTATGTTGATACTAATAATTGTTAACTCAATTATAAAATTTTAAAACTTATAGACCAATTTGATATGAACTTATAATTTTAGGATTGTTAATACAATAAACCCATTTTGAAAATAATTTGATGATTAGTATTTTATGAAAAAAGAACACAGAATAGTCGTTGGGAGTTGTGTAACATTTCATCTTAATCAGGATAGTGACGTGTAATCTAGCAATCAATGATCCAGTTTTGGATAACGCTGCCACGCGTTTATGCATCACCCCCTTCATTATATATATACCCATAGATCATCTGCTCCTCTCATCTTCATTTCACACTATCTGCGTTCTAGCTTTGATTCGAATCGGTTTCCATTACCAATCTCATTTTCAGAGAGAGAGAGAGAGAGAGAGGGTTAATTTGTAAGAGAGCAAGGAAGATGCTAACAATATTCAACAAGGATTTGATGAATCCGCCAAAGGAGCTGCACAGCCCAGCCTCACTCAGTTCATCCAACAAACCCAAGTTCCCAGAAGAGATCATCAAGGATTTTCTCGCTTCAAATCCCACCAATGCTTTCTCAATCGGGTTCGGATCCTCAGCCTGCATTGCTTATGCCCCGCCCGAGAATTGTTACTGTAACTATCAAAGGTAAGCTGCTCACCATTACACCACAAAGAACCCCCTTTTTTCTCTCTTTAATGGTTCGTGATTTTTAAAGCTTCTGGGTATTGATGGTGGAAAATGCAGGTTGTTTTGTGGTGTGGATGAAATGTACTGCATTTTCTTGGGGGGTTTGAATAATCTAAACAGCCTTTTAAGGCAGTATGCTCTGTCGAAAGGCAGCAACGAAGCAATGTTTATCATCGAGGCGTATCGGACCCTCCGTGACCGAGGTCCTTACCCGGCCGATCAGGTGCTAAAGGATCTTGAAGGCAGCTACGGATTTGTGGTGTATGATAGCAAGGCAGGAAGTGTTTTTGCTGCACTGGTAACATCATTTCCAAACTTCTGTTAATGGAAACACCATGTATTTATGATCTTCTAATCGAGCAACTGTTTTTTTTTGGTGGTGATTAGGGTTCAGATGAAAGGGTTAAACTCCATTGGGGTGTTGCAGCTGATGGATCGGTTGTTGTCTCGGATAATCTGAAGCTTATAAAAGAAAGCTGTGCAAAATCATTTGCACCATTTCCAGCTGGTATGCTCTTCTTATTTTTCAATTACTTTTGCCTTTTGGTAGAAATTTGGCATCAGTAGTTCCACATCGGTAAAGTTTAAGATTTAATCCTTTCATTTCAAAAGAATCAAATGTATTAACTTTCTTTATGGGTGAATGCAGGGTGTATGTTCCATAGTGAGCAAGGGTTGATGAGTTTCGAGCACCCGAGGAGCAAAGTGAAGGCAATGCCGAGAATCGACAGCGAAGGTGTTATGTGTGGTGCCGATTTCAAGGCCGACGTTCAGTCAAGAATTGGAACCATGCCGCGAGTCGGTAGTGAAGCCAACTGGGCACTGCGAGGCTCCCATACTTGAATACTTAATTGAGACGATTGAGATCATAACAAGACCCGCATTTTATTCCTTGATTTCTGAATGATTTCTTGTTTTTTCTTGGCATTATTTCCTTCATGTTTATGGATTTTCTACTTAAGTCGAACTGTAAAAAAATGGCCTAAAAGCATGAAAAGGCATGTTTGATAAATAAGATTTAAAAAATTATATATATATATATTATGTTTACATATGAAAACCGAGGCTTATTTAGGGAAATAATAGAAAAAAATTAAATAAATAGGGGGTTTTTTATTTAAGAAAATAGGTCAAAATTAATCTAAATTAATGTACATAAACTACAATTTAAAATTTGAGCATCCTAGGGAAGAAATAAACCATAATCTAACCTCATCTAATAAATGGCACGGCTCTGGATCATCCGCAAGCAATTGAAAAGATGGGCAAAAATACGCCCTCGCAACTGACCATCTGCAAGCAAGAGTAGCAATGAACTATCTTGCTTTTTTGCTGAATTGTTGCTCTCAATCTAACTCATTCTATTAAGTTGAGAGATGTTTCAACCTTTCATCGAGCTCTGACAAACGAGAACTCGATGACAAATCAATCCGACTCCACGAAGATCTACAATCACAATCGAAAGGTACATTAGAACTGAACTGGTTTTACTAATTTGAGATTACAAGAAAACATATCAGCCTGCAAGTGTGAAATACCAACCTCCACATCTGCCAAAGGGTCGAAAGTCTTTTTCTCTATTGTGTCAAATACCACAATGCCACTAATTCTCTGGACTCCGAGTTTGGTTGCGATTAGGTTCTGCACATGCAAAGTAGAAAAGCAGCTTATGTACAAGAAAGTTGCAGACCAAGTAGAAGCAACACTGGTGGTAAATGATTTGCGCGTAAATTTTCTTCATACCAAATAGAAATCAGTGGAACCAAATGCCTCCACCTGTGGTACTGCCTGTACAAAAGTGTCAAATTTGTATTCAAGTATTGCAGCAGATCATAACTTTAGTATGTTATACTGAGAAAAGAACATATAAAACATTGTTATAAATGTTTATTAATGTTAATCTGATGCTGATAGTCTTACTTGAAGACAATTTGAGTCGTGCACAACACATGATGCAACTACACCTCATGGCAACAACAGAAAATGATGGAAAAATAACTTACAGCTATAATATTTAAGAAAAGACTCACTATCTGGTTATTTTGAGTAGTAATCGGGGAAAAATGTAAGTGTCCTCAGTCGTCACTATCAAATTACATGGACAGAAATTTCGACTGTTCATACATACATGTTATGCAGACTGACAGATTACTTTAGATGCCACCAACCACATTTCTTCATGAAGCTATAAGAAGGCAATTTCAGAAGAATTCCTACCATATCATTCATGTACGCATGTTATGCGGTGTGACATATCACTTTAGCCACCACCTACCACAAATCCCTCTTGATCAAGAAGTTCTAAGAGAATATTTTAAAGACAAAAAGTCATTTATCCCCTTTACCTCTACAAATAAAGGAAAGCCTTAGGTATATACGCCTTCACAAAATGTATGATAGACAATATCACAATAGTTTAGGCAAAATAAGCTAAATCAGTGTTGGCAGTCAATTAAATCAATTACCATCGTCTGAAGCCCGTTAATCATAACAAACTTCTCTTCATGTGCACTATTTTGTGATAACCAAACCTCAAATGGGCCCATCTCTCTCTCTTTATGGTTTGTAAGCTTCAAATGTACCTGCAAAACATAGATTAAGCCAATTAAAGGTCAATTAAAAATTCTTTAAGGATAAAGCTAAAGACTAAGAAGCAAAGGAAGATACTCTAAGGCCTGGACAGACCTTAAGTTCTGCCATTATTGTGAAAAGAATTTCTAGAAAAAAATGGCTTTTCCAAATTGTAAACATACAGAGGACCTATCCAAATTGATTAAAGATGGAATCTCCAGAAGTTGCAACTCAATCTCTTGGCAGCTCATGAGCTGAAAAGGAGAAAAGCATATCAGAATGATTTTGATAAATCTCTCTTTTTTTTTTTTTTTGGTATTGAAATTTATGCATATCCCAAACTCTCAGTAAACATAACATAGAGAATTCAATAGTATTTTTCCTTTTTCCATGTTAAGCCATAATAAATAAATCTTTTCTTTATTGCGGTAAAGATTTCAGAATAGGGGATATGAAAGTCTTCTAAAATAATAAGAGTGCTCAACTTACAGTGCCAAGAATTTGTAGTGCTTGCAAGCGGCCAGGTTCACCCAAATTTGTGCGCCATGTTATCTGAAGTTTACCAAGGATATTACTCCTCTTTGCCTTCACTTGTTCAGTACCAGATGACGAAAATTAATTTGATAAAGGTAATTGTGAATACCCCCACCAGATCTGACAAGAATAGGTGGCTTAACTATCTCTCTGCCAGTAAGTGAATTATTAACAAAGAAGAAATGATTACAATAGTTTTAGTTAAAAGAACCAAAGAGAAAAGAAATTAGAACTTCCAAGCGATATATCCACTACTGACCCAGCTGAAGAGTTATCTGCAGGATGGAGGAGTCCATCAGCTTTTAGTATTGTAGCACTCCAATGAGGAGCTGGTTCAAACTCAACTTGGTCCACAAAAAGGTTTGATTTTGTATGATTCTCTATGCAAGCTTCTAAATAGGTAGTTTCCTGAGATGGAAACACTCATATTACAGAAGGATGAAAGCCCAAGTTGGCTCACAAGTTTTACAACTAATGATGAAGATGGAAACAAATGTAAAGACAATAGTGCTAGTATTTGCTGCACTTGACATAGACAAACACCTATAAATCAAACGAGACACTCCAATCATGAGATATTAGCTTTTACACGTTGCGGAAACTGAGTTGCAAGTTGCAACGTAAGTATGCACATTTGAAAACCGACTTTGATTTTAATAATACAATGAGAAACAACAAAAATAAAGAAAAATTTTGTATCCCTTGCCATTTCCTCTTGCAATGCTCAGTTAAGGAGGGATAAAATAGCGAGGCTCTCAAACCTTTACCTTTAGGAGTTTGATTGATATCAACTTTATCAATAAAATCACAAAGCAATAAACACCAAGCCAATTACATTTTATTTCTATAGTTTAGTTTACACAAAAAAGAACATAATTGAAGCAGCATGAATATCTAGGCTTTATTCACTTACATTAGAGAACCCAAATTAATCTCAACCTACCTTGACAGTGCGGACCTGCACAGCAGAGGCAAGAAACATTACTCTTTTGAAAGGAAAATTTTAAGAAACCAAGAAATGGTTTCAAAGAAGAAAGTAGAAGCAATGGATGCCTTTGGAGCTAGCCCGGGGCAGCATATGCATTTTATTTATTTCATTTCATTCTAAAGGCATAGTATCTTTGTCCTAACTGATAATGGATTCGCAACAACAAACTTGAAAAACTGTGGAAGGTATTTCCGCTCACTACCATCATTGTACAACGCAGTGCAAGCTTGAAAAGAAGCACATGATCTGGCACTTTACAATTTACAAAGCTAGCAACACAAAAGCTTAGTCAAATACAGTTACAGAGGCAGAAAAAAACTACAAAGAAAATGCCAATTGATATTAAAAGTTTCTTCCGTTTTAAACACATTATCAATGCAATCTGTAAACAGTTGTTATAACTAAAAATTGCAGTAAATTCATGACAAAAAAGAAACAAAATGATGCTAATATAGCATCAGAATGTCTCTAACTTCAAAATTTGAGCTGTTATTAATGCTAATATAGCTGCAGAAATTCCAATTAAATACTATTGTTCCAATCAAGATTTTCAGCCGTCAGCCTTAGAGCCAAATGTCAGCTTGAATATGTTGTGTTGAAAGAAAAAAAAACTTGACTGGAACAGTATTTTAGTGTGAGGTATTAATTAAAAGGTTTTAAAATTTAGGCCAATCAAAATTTGATCATAATATGAGGATTTATAGTGCAATTAACCGAAAAATAAGAAAAGAAAGAAGAATGCATAGTGAGACCCGAATGATTGGGGGAGGAGGAGGAGGAGGAGGAGGAGGCCGGAGAAGTCCATAGCATCGGAAGGGTGGTGGAGGAAGTATCTGTCGGCGAAGGACATATCGGAGGAGTCGGTGGACTTACTGAGGTGGGTAGATAACAAAGGGGAGAGCTCAGAGGTGACGAGAGGATCGTCGAACATGTCCTCGCCGACGAAGAAATCGGCAGGGTCGAGACGGAACGGTGGTTCGACGTGGAACGACGGGTCGCAAAGCCGCATTACCCCTAAACGCCAGTGAGTGAGTTCCTTGCGGCGTCGAGCTCATGGCTTTAACGGGATTTTCTGAGTCTTTTAGGCTTGGGAGACTATGAAAGGGGAACAAGAACGAAAAATGTAACGAAATCTCGCGGTATCTCTAGTTTCTGTTAGCAAAGTTCCCGGGGTTTTTCTAACCGCCGTCGTTTTGTCTCAATATGACAGTCAAATCTTTTTTTTAAAAAAAAAGCTAAGGTGACAGTCAAATCCTGATACTTAGTCCTTTTACTCTAATGAATAATCTACCTATTTAGTATCCTACCTATTCTAGTATTTCTATATTGGCCACTCAACTATTATTTTTGGCAAAACCGTACTTAACATAAACAATCCTGATGCCCTTTCGTTTGATATTGCTTCTTGTTAACTTATATCCCTCCAAAATTTCTTCAATAAGACCCTCAAAGAACTTCGAAAGAAAAATCTTTGGACACAGGACAGGGTCTTTGGATCCTTATACCTGTCGAGAAACCACGACCATTTGACGTGATCCAACAATTTGGTAACGAGTCCTACCCAAAGTTCAGCAACTCCAGCAACTAGTCAAGGTCAGTAGCGATTTCGTTTGATATTCAAAATTTATTAGCCATAGAAATTGCTCTTCTTTTTTCTTTTCTGCTCTATTTGGTTATGCTGAAGAACTTCATGTCTCTGTTACCCTTCTTGATTGTACATTGAAATATGATGTATTTATATGCCTAAGCCACCCCATGTTTATACGGCTGGTCAAAGTGGCACCACAAGTTCGACTGGCAGCACACAGATGCAAGCTTGGGTACAGGGTTCTATTACTAAGATTGGTGACTCAACTGATGGAGTCTCCACTTCAACTCCCAACCCCATAAGTGGCCCCTTTTCCACTAGTTCATTTTATTG